CTACTAAATGTCAGCCTGCTGCCCTCCTTATCCTCAGGGGACCCAGACCCCTTCTTAACCTTGCAGAGGAAAACATCCCCTCTCCATTCCATTATTGATCCATCAGTGAGCATTAACGAGAGCAGGCCAGCTCAAGCAAAGGCAAAATGCATTGTTGGAATCCCAGAGAAGAGTGGTGATAGAACTGAATCCCTCTTGCTGGCCTTTTCAGTCCCACAGAAGGTGCTGTTGGACAGGAAAGTAGTGTGTTAACACAGAGACCTTCTTCAGCATCAGTACCTGGATATCATTGTTTGCATTCTCCATAACAAATCAGTGTTCTCCCTCTTCTAGTGTGGCTACAAAATGGGTTGATCACTCTTGGAAAAGGTTGCTCTACCTGAAGCAACACTGTATAGGCGAGTATTCCTAAGCAGAGCTACCAAGGCTGTGATATCAGCATTGAGCAGATCAGCACAAGAGCAGGGCAGAATGAAGTGATAGGAGTGGGTAGGATGGGCTGAGCCCACAGTTCAACTAGTCCAGACTTCACCAAGATGCCCCACGTATGCAGTAGGCCACTGTGTGAATACCTGACTACACACAAAGTTCTGAGACACCCAAGGGTGAGGTTTGTTTTGTTCCCCACAGCCATCCTAGAGGGTAAGGGAACAAATTCTACTTCAGATTACGCTAATGCTGATCCTATGGATGGAACCATAGAACGCCTTGGGGTGGAAGAGACTTCAAAGATCATCCAGTTCCAACCCTCTGCTGGAAACAAGGTTGCCAACCAGCAAATGAGGCATCAGATCAGGTTGTTCAGGGCCCATCCAACCTGGCCTTAAGCCAGGTTGTTTATGATTAGGCACACGCACTCTGCTGGTCAAAAGATCCTGCAGCCTGACATTATGCACATGGAAATCAGAGGACTTTTCCACTAACCATTTTCTTAATTTTACTTAAAGACATGAGCATTAAGATACTTTCTTCTTCTTGAAGATGAAAACATTTGCAACACATGAAACAGTATTAACTCAGTACTTGCCTTGAAATCACACATATAATGATGCAGAAACAGCTGAAGGTCGGAGTGGGACCCAACTAATTCACTATTTGCTTTCCAGTTTGCATGAGTATGGTTATTCTTACAAAAAGCAGCTTCGCTTTCACAGTAAAACTGCCTAACAGTTGTAATGAGACCCACCAAAACCTCTTCCTAATAATTCAAAAACTTCCCATTCACAACTTCCCTGGGCAGCAGTGCCAGGGCCTCACCACCCTCTCAGTAAAAAAAAAATTCCTCCTGAAATCTAATCTAAATCTCCCTTCTCTTAGTTTAAAACTATTCCCTTTTGTGCTATCGCTATCAGGCCATGTAAAAAGCTGATTTCCATCCTGTTTACAAGCTCCCTGGAAGGCTGCTGTCAGGTCACAGATACACCTGGTAAGTCAGCTCAGTAGTTTCTGTGCCCATCCCCTTTTCTGAAGTGAGCTGATGATGCATGTCCCCCTGCACCCCTTCCCACAACAGGACCTTGCTGTCAACATGTACCCCAAGGTGAAGGCAATAAAGTGCCAGATGAGCAAGCAGAGCTCCTGTGGCTGGGTAATAACCAGCAAGCCTGGGCTGGTGATGATGCTGTGTGCTGAACCCTGCTGCAGCTCAGCCACCAGATGAATCAGAAGAGGGCAAGGGAGGGAGACAGCCAAGCAAATGCTCAGATAGCACAGTGAAATGTTAATGTCCTATAATGAGGAGCCCTGGTGCCAGCTTCCATCATGAATTTGACGATCCCACTTTGACAAAAGCACTACAGACACATCTCTGCCCTTTCAGCCAGCTGCAGTGAGCCAGGAAATGCTGGCCTGAGCAACTGAAAAGGAGGGGGAGGCTGAAAGGGGTCTCTGGGTTAGGAAAGAGAAGGGTAATGAGTTACTGTGGCAGTGATCTAATGGTACCTATCTAAGCATGCCACATGCTGTCAATTTTACAGCGTGCATTTCTCAGAACACCCTGCAGAGATGGAGCAGAAACATTCCCAGAAGATCAATATGCCCTAACCCTTTTCTTTTAATAAGAAATTGCAGGTACAAGAGGAACATCTCAGTAAACGAGGAAAAAAAATCCCATCGGAGATGAGAAACACACATCAACCTGCTTATTTCATTCCTTCCATCCTACCTGGAGGGTTTGCTGCACAAATGAATACTTAATCACTTCAGAAATGTCCAGAAAGCTTTTTCCTGTCCCCCAAATATTTTCTGCTGCTTTCAGAAGTTCCTCCCTTCTTAAAGTCTGAATTTGAACGTTAAAGGTTTGTTTTTAACCACACCATCCCAACTGTAATTTTAAAATTGCTGTAAGCATTCAGGCATTGACTTCTGATGCTAACCAGAGCCCTGAAGAGATTCAGAATGTGAAGGGATGGCTCTCTGTTTCTAGCCATCCCTGTCCACTGCAATAAATAAGATTTGAATGCAGCTACAGCTTACGTGGAACAAAGTTGTCCTCCTCCTCGTCGTTTCCGTTCTCGTGCCGTTTTTGGAGGTGGAAGATCCTTGTGTTCTGTTCATGGAGCAGCAATAGGATGAAAGCCAGTGTCATGAGTTACAAACAAGAGAATTCCAAGTAGGAATTTGGAAATCATTATATCACGTAGCCAGTCAAATACTGAAACAGGGCCCAGAGAGGTTGGAGATGCTCTTTAAGATTTTCAGAACTCAACAAGGTGAGCAAGATGATCCAAGTTGGCTCTGCTTTTAGCACAAGGTTGGACAGAAGAGCTCTGGAAGTCCTTTTCAACCTTAATTATTCTATGATTTTTCCCATCACAGTCATGATTAATTACTGTGATAGTGGGCTGGCAAGTGCTAACATTCAATAGTTACCAGAAAGACCATTCAGAAGTCCCATAAAAAAATGTTCAAGTCTTGAGCTCAAACAAATAAAAGTTTGAAGATCAAAGCCAAGAAGATTATTTATCCCCATGGATAGTGATAGAACAAGGGGGGATGGTTTTAAACTGAGACTGGGGAGGTTTAGGTTGGATATTAGGAGGAAGTTTTTCACCCAGAGGGTGGTGAGGCACTGGAACAGGTTGCCCAAGGAGGCTGTGGATGCCCCATCCCTGCAGGCATTCAAGGCCAGGCTGGATGTGGCTCTGGGCAGCCTGGGCTGCTGGTTGGTGACCCTGCACACAGCAAGGGGTTGGAATTGGATGAGCACTGTGGTCCTTTTCAACCCAGGCCATTCTGTGATTCTATAATTCACTGGTAACAACATCTCAAATGATTAAAACAACCCTATGCTTCTCCCCTTCTCTTGCTGTCTTGGTACACTGCAAAGCAAACACCTCCATCCTCTGAAATGAGAAGTGCTTCTTTACTTTCTCCAGAAGGTGGAATGCTCATGTGTAGCTGATGAAGTTGTTCTATGATTACATCCTCTAATAAGATTTGGATCAGATGTGGTTTTAATCAACAACAGAAAAATCCCAACAGCGTCACAGCATCAGGCCTCCTTTTCTGTGATAGAAGGATCTTTATAAGCTGCTTCCTTAGAGAATCTCTTTCCATGCAACTATTATGTCTTAAACTGATCTGTAGATGAAGAAAAGGTTGAAAGGTTGAAAACATTTTGGCCTTTGGCCTTTTCCAGGCTTTCAGTACCAAGAAGAATCTTAACCTCAAAGATATGATGAAAGGTGCCAAATGGGCCTTCATTTCCATTCCCTCCCTACACACCCAGACGAATGGCCTTTAACTTTCTGCACCACATGTGTGGAAAAAAAAAATCCGCCAAAGATCAAGATGTATTACTTCATACTCAGAAACATCCCCATTTTATCAGTGGGGCCAAATTCCAAGCCCCAGCAAAACACACAACTGATTTTATGGCTGCTCTTCCCCACTGCCCCCAGCATTGACAAATTTCTTCATGAGGAATTCAATACAAAGCTCATCAGAAGCAGTGAGGACTTTGGGGGATCAATTATCTACATACAATTTCATCAGGGGATGCACACATCCCCCCAGCTCCATTTACATTAGAGGGAAGCCTGGCCAACAGCAGTGAATTCATTACCTCCAGGCCTTCGCTTAGGACTGATTTACTTTCTTCTGTCCACAGAATCCATTTTGTTCAAACCTGGTGCTCCGATTCACTCAGTGAATAAGTAAAAACGTAACGCACTGAAACACATTTGGATCCTGCAGCCCTTTAGTGTCTCTGTAATTGCACACGTGGTAAGAAAGATACGGGGGCTGTGCTTCCTGCCAGACTAATTTCAGATTTAATAACAATTATGTAGAGGAAGAACAGAGAAGAGAAATTTTTAATTTGGATCCAAGGCAGAAGATGACCTTCTTCATTCACTTAAACTACAGCAAAGTATTCCGTGCATCGAAATTTACGTTCTCATGCAACTTACTTGTCATATTTTTAGGGCTTGGATGGACCCACTTCTCCAAATAACTCTTATGCCTTATTAATGCCATATTAACACATTGGGTGATAATATTTCGTTCTCAAATTACATATTTTGAGATTCTCCCCCCCCTCTCCCCCCTTTCCCTCTGTTTTTGTATTTCACAGAGCCAGGTGAATTCCTTTTTCATTCAGTACTTCTCTCACAATTATTTTTCCCCAGAGGCAAAGGAAAGGTTCAGTGATCAACTTAAGGAACACCGAGCTAAGCAAGCTGACATATACAAATGGCACCAAGAACAGAAGCTGCAGAGACCTTCACGTCCACAGCAACAGAATGATGCTGCATTGCCTAAGTGTAAAATGCTCCTTTTATTCCCAGCCAGAAAGGAGAACTATTTCTTCCCTCCTCCTCTTGGGAGAATGAAAACAGATGAGAACCTCAAACCAATCCTTGCACTGGCTGGAACTCAAAAGGTAGACTTGGGAGGGGTTGGAGGAAGATATAAAGGCTGGTGGCTGGAGACACGGAGCGGCACAGAACCGGAGTGACTCAAGGGGAGGAAGAAATCAGAGACATCAAAACACGAAGATGAAACTTCTTTTTTGCCCTGGATTCTTCCTGCTGCTTATTGTCAGCCAGAAGCAGGCAATGGCCAAACCAATTTCCAGCTTGCAGGTAAGTGCTGCTCAATAGAATGGGAAGAAATTGATGCTCTTTAGGATTTAGACATCTCAGATTACCAATGTTTCTCCCAACCCCAGCTAAAGAAGTAGGAGGCATTCAAAGAGAACACGACAGCAGAAATCCTGAAGTTAGGCAGGCAGAGTTATTTAATGGAGAGAAACTGAAGCATTCAATTACTGGATTTAAATTTCTGATCAGCTGAGGAAACTGAAATGGAAACGTTTTTCCCATGGGGTCAGTTTGGAGACTTCAGATTTAGGGTCATTCTATGATTGAGTAAAGCAATAAACTTCTGGAGCAGAAGAAATTTGCCTCGAAGGGCTCCTTCCTATAGGCTTAGAGCACTCACCTGCATGGTCCTCCCTCAAGCCTCTAGTTAAAGCTGAAAATTGAATAATAGGTTGTGCCTGCATAACTATGAAGAGGATTTTCTCCTCTGTGTGGTGCAATAATACAGTCCCTGCTCCTGAGCTCCAGTGGCAGAACTGGTAAATGAACTTAGAATCCTCTATGTTAACTGAAAAAAAAAAAAAAAAAATACCCAGAACCCCTTCATTTTTCTCCTCTCCTCCTCCAACCTTTTTTTTTTTTTTTTTTTTTCCTATTTTTTTCCCCTGCTCAGAGTCTGTCCATGCTGTTAGATGAGGAGCTGGAGCATCCCCTGGTCTCAGAAGAGAGGGATCGTGAGCAAGATGGCTCAATCCCAATAGGTGCCTTTGAGCAGGAAGATGCTGAGTTCCAGTGGACCCGAAATACCAGAGACCAGCCTGCAAGCACTTCCACTGCTGACAGTGCTGTCCAGAGGCTCCTCAGTGACCTCTTAGGTTTACCTCAGAGATACCAAAAGAGAAGCAAAAAGGGTCTGTCCAGGAGCTGTTTTGGGGTCAAATTGGACAGAATTGGGTCGATGAGCGGACTGGGGTGCTGACTGCTTACTATGGTAAGAGAAAGTCATGGACACATGGGTTGTGTGTATAACTTGTGTAAATATGTAGAAGAGCTCATTTAATTACCTGCTTTTCACTCCTTTCTCCAAGTCAGATGTATGCACTTCATGTTGTCACAGATGCCAGATGCTTTCACTAATTCCTTAGGGATTCTTCTGTCAGTCCAAACTTTGGGGATGCAGCTGGCCCTAGAACAGAAAGCAATCAGTCAATTTCCATGTGTGAAATCCTGTCCACGTCTCTTTCTTTTACTTATTCCTCTGCTTTCTTGACAGGACTGACTTGGAGGGTTCAAAGGACCTGTTGGCTATCAGTGAGATATTAAGCCTTTATTTGCATTGGTTCCACCAATCCATCTACAGATGATGTACTGAACAAATTGCATTCCACCTCTTCCCTAGATTACTTAGGGGAGACAGAATAGGACACACCATAACTGTATGCTTATTTGTATCAGAGTAATTATTTGTGAGCATCTACCAGAAATGTAAGTACAAAAAACATTTGTACTGTTAATGTAATAAATGTATAAATGAACAGTTTCCATTCTGTCATGGATAATAAACCTTTTTTTCCATAATTGGGTGAATTTGTTTCAATTCTTTGCTGCGATTCTCTTTTTGTACCATTCCTGAAGGGGATGCAGTGCTGCTGTTTGCAATTACACATAACCCACTACAATTCAGAAGCACTTTAGAATCTGCTCTCTGGTATAAGTAAATTGGAGTAACCTTCCTGAAGTTAAAGATCTCATACACAAGACACCAAGTCTTTAGCCACTATTATTTGAATTTAAAGGACAACTGTGTTAGCTAAGCTTTGGTTCTGCTCCCTCTAAATACAATTCCTATGGAAAGAAAAGAAGCCAGGATCTGCAGGAGAGCTATTAAGAGCCAGACTAAGGAAACTTGGTTCTTCTCTCACTGTTCTCAATATACAGCTTTCACCCTTAAGCCACAGACTTGCTCTAGGAAGGACATGAATGCTACAAGCTCACAAGAGCACATCATACAAGCACTTAAGAGCTGTCTATCAGATACAAAAAAGCACAGAATGATTTGCTAATGGAGGTAGCCTCCCTTTGCCCAAGCTACCAGCAGCTCCTCTCTGTATTTTCTTCTGATCTCTCACCCTTTTAATGTACCTTGCATATTTAGAAATGAGTGTTAATTCTACCTGTCTACGGCTATTTCAGCCTTCAGGATCTTTATCTCCTCAGACCACTATTTGGGAGGTTATCAGCAGTGTAACAGTGCCACAAACCCTGAGCAGGGACTGCAAAACACATCCTAAAGGCCACCCTACTTATCAGTCTCTATGAGGTCTCATGCTGTTTTCTACTTACTCTGCTCAAGTTAATTTGATAACAAAGCAGCAGCAATAGCAAAAGCACCCTAAACAGTCACCTGGCTGGCAAGGAATGGTCTCACCATTTCCACAGGCACCTCTGAGCCTCTCAAACAATGGAATAACCCACATAATTAATTCTTTGTGTTGCCTTTGTTGAGCAAAGCAACAAGTAAATGAAGTACTTCATCAATAATGAAAAATTAGAGCAAGGAAGGAAGGATAAAAGAGTGCCTCCATTTGGCAGCATCATTACTTTGCAGTAGACACGTAAAGCATTGTCTGAGTGCTATTGCTACAGCATGATTCGTGTAAACAGCATTTCTAATGGAGTCCCATTCATGGGCAAATCCTCCTAGAGTTCTATATCCTGCTTGGACCACACATATAAAACTCTCCTTTCTGTAGCTCCCATCATACAAATACCTCTACCTGTACATTCATTGCTCTAACTCAATATCCTTCAGAAAGAGAACTTTTCTCCCAGTAGAGAGACTTACAATAAGAAGCAGCAGACCCTCACTTGTAGAAACCCCACAAGAAAGCATCCAGCTCTCTTAAATAGATTCCCTCTTGGGCATGCTAGCCCTACTGTGGCCCAGGTGCAACCTAAGTGGTAGCAAGGTGAATCCACACAGCCTGCTGACATCATGGTGACAAGAAATGAAGGGCAAATATGTTGTGACAGCTGGTGCCAGTGGGAAGGTGTAACATCCTTCCTAATGATGCTGGATCTGACAGCCTCCCTGCAGTAACCCTAGGAGCAGGTGTGTTCTCATAGGCACGAAAGCTTCCTGATGTTGGAATTTCAATGCTGAAAACGCTAAAAACATAAAAAAAAAAGAAAGGATAAGTGCTACTGGAATCTGTTTCCTAAACATCCTCAGCCTGTTTACGAACTCAGCTGCAATACCTTGAAATTATTTGTGGACAAAATAAAATAAGGGCTGAAGAGGTTGAAGATCGAGCTGTCAATTTGTCAACAGAATCCTACAGCAGATGAATAAGAAATTGATAAGAGCTTCACCTCCCCAGACATGAGCTGCAACGTGCCATCCTATCAGCTGGCATTTGGGGTGAACGTTTTAAAAAGCCACTATTCATAAAGAAAGAACAATTTATTTCACATAAAAGGCCCCATAATTAGATCCCTAGGACTGAAGCCAGATGTGTCTGTACTTTAGGCAATTTGCTGAGTTCTATTAGCATTTAAACAATCAAAGCTAACCTTTGAAGTTTGCATGCCAGTCAGACAGGGGAAGCTCAGCTCTAGCTGTGTCATTTCCATCCCCACTAAGGAGCAGTGCATGAATTTAGCAGCCAGGGTTACAGGAGGAGCTGAGAAGAAAAGCCTGCAGTAAAATAACACCTACACACCATGAAACACACACATACCTTTCCCAAATGAGTCTTCTTTCAGGAAAGGAGGCACTGCTTGTTGTGATGCTTTAAACAAAACAGCTTGCCAACTGGTGGATGCAGAGATCATCGTCCTACACTGTCTGATATTGTTTGATTCCAGTCAAAGACAAATGATGTCAGCTGTAGGCAGGTTTGTGGGACAGAAAGACAAAAAAAAAAGGCAGGGAAGGGAATGTAAAAGCATAATGTATGCAATACAGTACTTGCAATGCAGCCTGTGGCAGTAAAAGCCCACAAAAACTTAGTGTAAAACTCCCTGAACTCAGAGGAAAGGCATTGTAGGACCATAGAATCATTAAGGTTGGAAAAGACCTATAAGATCATCCACCCACCATTAATACCGCCATTAAACCATGGCTCTGAGTACCACATCTCCACATTTTTTGAACGTTCTTTGGCTTTGCTGAGCTAAAGGGCAGACCCTGAGACAAAAGCCCAAGCAGAAATCACTGCGTATCTCCTGAAATCAAAGAGATTCATGGATGTCCAAGCAGACAAAGAGTGCAGAAAGCAGAGACTTGCTGTAATTGCTCGAATGTCACCCAGGCAGTGATTGAAAGGACCGTCTGCTGCTCTGCCCACTGGATTCTGTAAGAATTTACCAGAGTCATCTTGCTTTGATCCTTGGTATGGGATGGTGCAGTGAATGCCGGAGGAATAATGGAATGGTTCAGGTTGGGAGGGACCTTAAAGACCATCCCATTCCAACCCCCAGGAAGGGAAGATGCATCATCTCAGGAACTTGTAAAATCCCCTACAACCAAACCTCACTCTATTCCCAAAGAACAAAATTATGTATGCAGAGAAGAAAAGGCTGTGTGGAGCTGCTGCAGACAGGGAAAAATTCCAGCTCCTTCTTCTCCCTCCCACCAGTGAGAAATGATGCATCCCTCATCCCTTGGAGGGGAAACCAACCCTCTTCTCGGGGCAGCTGCTGTGCACCTGTGGATGTGAAGCAGAGCAAACAGGCAGAAAGCACAAGGTCCTTCCCTGCATCACCTCCTCCCTAACAGTGATGGAGAGTGGAGGGGGGAGGAGATCACCAGGAAAATGAGTGCTCCCAGGAGGGGAGGAGGTGACCCAGGGCAGTTCTCTCCCTCTGAAGGAGGTGTTGCACTCAGGGAACCCCCCTCTCCTAGAGGGTCAGCTGTGGGGCCAGTTGTAACCAGTTCCCTTATCAAGGCTGGGGGACAGAGCTCTGGCTCCTGTGGGGATCTGGAAGGAGGCAGCTCAGCTCCCTCTGGGCAGAGAGAGCAGGGATATAAGGAGAGGCTTCTGTGGGTAAAGCGAAAACACGGGGAGAGCTGGGGATAGGATAGGAAGAGAAATAGAGAAGGAGAAGATGCAGCTGCTGGATCTTTGCTGCAGGGCCTCACTACTGCTGCTGTTTATGCCGTGGGCTGCTGGTGAAAATGATGCGGAGCTGCAGTCCTTGCAGGTACTGGGGCTGGGATTCCTGGGGATATGAGGACAAGAGCAGGGCTGCCCATCTGCCACTGCAGCTGCCACTTCTCACCTCTGCTTCCCTCTCCAGGAGCTCCTGGAGGCTTTGGAGCAGCTCCAAGAGGAGGAAGGGGCACCAGCCCTGGAAGACGAGCTGGGTGCTGGGGCTGAAGTTGGTGGCTCTGAGTGGGATCTCCAGGGGCTAGAAAGCAGCCCGGTGGGTGCCCTGCTGCCAGCCCCCAGCCCTCCCCAACCAGCGGAGGGACAGAGCCAGTGGAGGAGCCTCCTCTCCTCCTTCGGACGGAGGCATTTCTCCGGCTGCTTTGGGACGAGGATGGAGAGGATCGGCGCGCAGTCGGGGCTGGGATGCAACCACTACAAAGCCCGTAGGTCCCGGGTCAGATCCAGAACTCCCTGTGAAGTGGTGGGGACGGGGACAGCTGGCTGCCAGCCTCAGAGTAGATCGCCTCCCCCTCCAGCTCTTTGCCCCTTATTTTTTACAGGTTTCTGGAGGAGAAGGAGAAGCTGAAGCCAGGACTGGCTCTCAAGCACTGGTCTTGTCCCTCTGCTGGACAGCCAGCCTCTCCCAGGAGCTTCTGAAGTTTGGGGTATACAGCAATAAACCTTTTGTATGAAGCCTCTACTGCCTTTTGTAAGTGTTTTCTTTGGTCACAGGGTAGCACAGATATAGAACCCCTCCCCATCCCCCCAAAGTCCTCCACTTCTACCCTAAGGACTTGGTCCTTGGCACTGGCCGGATCACCCTGCCAGGTCTGGAAGGCCCTGTAGCACCATTCCATGCCAGGGAGTCACCCCAGTGACCCTCCCTGCTGTGCTGGAGAGGCACCAGGGCCAATTCCAGGCCCTTGGCAGCAAGCTCAGATGCCTCCCACAAGCATTTCACAAGCATTTCACCGCTGCTGGCTGTGAATCCTCCCAGTAGGTGTGCAAAGTGCTCGGGGTTAATTCCAAGTAGTGTCCTACACATGCCCCGTCCCATGGGCTATGCCAAGTTTGGCACGGCGGGCTGCCACTGAGGACAGAAGAGCTGCATGGCTTTAAAAATACATTTGGCAGCAGGCGAAGGGCAGCCAGGCCTTCAGGACCGGGGACAGACGCCAGAAGCCCGCAGCGAGGAAAGCAGCCCCTGCAGGGACACGTTGCACATCCTTACCTTTTCCTTTTGGTTCCCAAACTGATGGTCTTGGGTCTACCCTGTGCTGGTGAGATCTCACCTGGATCAGCGTGTGGGGTCCTTGGTACAGGAGAGATGTGGACCTGTTGGAGTGCATCCAAAGGAGGGCCCCAAAAATGATCCCAGGGATGGAACACCTCCCTGCAAATGGTGATGGGACAGGGGAAATGGTTTCCAACTAAAAGAGGGGAGATTTAGGGTGGATATAAGGAAGAAGGGTGGTGAGGCACTGGCACAGGTTGCCCAGAGTGGTGGTGGTGCCCCATCCCTGTAGACACCCAAGGTCAGGGAATGAGGCTCTGAGCACTGATGGAGCTGTGGATGTCCCTGCTCACTGCAGGGGTTTGATCTGATGGCCTTTAGTGTCCCTTCCAACTCCAACCATTCCATGATTCTATAACTCTTAATCTAATGGAACTGCAAGAAAAGAGAGCTTGGGTTGATGTATGGCAGAGTCCTTTTGAAGGTTTTAGTCACCTCACCATGCTGCAGAGGTAGTGGCAGTGCTAACCCCAGCTGAGCTCTGTCCATGTACTATCCCTGCTCATTTCAGGGATCCTCTTGAGATCCTCCTCCTCCTCAGCTCCTGTCTCATACTCCCATTCCTAAAACTGGTTTTCCCACTCCTAAAACTGGTCACAGTATGCATTTATAAGAACCTAGTGCTCTGTTTAGAATGCCAGCAGGATATTTACCGTACAACTGGTTAGCAAAGCACGGATAATGCCTTGGTCTTGTACCTCTACTGCTGAACTGTAAAGCCAAAAGTTCATATTAGCCTTGCAAGGGTGATGATGCTGAGATACCCCAAGCAGACAAACAAGTGAGCTTAATAGCTGAGTTCTATCATTTTACACCCCATTTGTTTTGGCAGAGCTGTCAGATGGATAACAGAGGACAGAATTTGTAAACATGATAGCTACCATGACAGCCAGTCAGGTCAGCCCATCTGTATGCTTCCACACATGCTATGTGAAATAGTGCATAGGCATATCCATGTTGGAAAAATACTAGTGAGGCTACAGTTTGGGCCCCTAGATCTCATCTATCTGCTGTGGAATGTGGAAGAATGAAAGTGAACTAATTAGTAAAAGCAAGGAGTAGCTCTTGGTTCAGGTTACAAAAGGCAACCTTGGAATATTAGGTTGCTTTACACAGATAGGCTACTGAAAGCTAAATATTGCCCCATGACTGATACCATGTTCCTTCATTCTCGGAGCTGCGCCTGTGACCTGGGGCTTGCTTTACAGATGTGCTGAGCTCTCAGGCAAAACTGACATGGAGCAACAGGGTTTTTTTTTAGCACAGAGACAGCACTAGAGAATACTTGGCGGGTGGGAGCAAAAGGAAAGAAAAAGAACAGTAACAGATCCCAATTACTTGAAATTGGACGCTCAGTATTAATGAATACCGTTTATAATATTGATAGTTATCCATTCTCAGCTTACAAAATGAAGATAAGTAGAAAATACCTGCAATTAATTAGAGAATCATGTAGACATTGCAGCATGGAGTGTCAGAAACAAAGCTGTCAGGTTGGTAACTCTTTCTTTACCACAATTTGAACAGGACTAAATAACAGTGGGCTGGAACACAGTAATACAGAAATGAGTACTGCTTTGTGGTACCAAACGGATGGGCTGACTTCAAGCTGTACTGGGAAAAAAGCAGTATTTGGGCTCGACTTCACAACCTTGAGAATGCCCTTTCCTGTATAATTTTGGTAGGCAGACCATGTGAACAGTGTATTTGCATGTTTGTACACACTGTGCTAAGACAGAAAAAGATATTTTATTGTTCTATTATTATTTATTCCTATGAAAAGCCAACAAATTATTACTAGCCTGACATAGGCAACTTTGTCATATATCTCTTCCTGTTTTGAGTATAAGGAATGTTAGGAAAATGCAGCTCAAACAATATGCTTCAGGGTTTCAAATATACAAAAAAGTAGCTTTAATTAATTGCACTAAAGACAATGCTGGAAGAAGACCTAGCAGCAAATCTGCATCACTGTAAATTCTCATTTAAACGGAGGCAGTTTTCAGCTAAGCTTGAAAACTTCAGCTCTCAAAGAAACCAGCACACAAAAATTATTCCAGAATCTGGCCACCTCCTCTTTAAATATCATTAATGCAGGGTCAAACCTTACCACGGATGTTTCAAGAAATCCCACTGGTTTAAATGTCTAGCTGTTAACAGTACAATAATAGTTTTTCCGCGGTGCCGAAGTCAGTTCCATGGGGCTGGAGGAACTCAGTGTCCCCACAGCGGCTGCGAGGAGGTGCAGATTGGGTGCTTCTGTTGTTGGCAACATACAAATACAAAGTCTTAACTGTGATCTCACCTCTATGGCGATGGTGAAAGAGAAGTGGCCCAAACCTGAGATTTTCAGCACACTCCATGGAATGCGGTGGCTACGTGTATTCCTTATATAGAAGGAGAATGTGCATGGTACTTTAGGTATCCTAAAAGTAGATTTATCTTCAGCCTTTGCTCTCCACCAAATACTCATCTGCAAAGCTTCTTTGCTTTCCTTATACATAGTAATTTCCCTATGGAAATCTTCTAACTGAGCAGAGTTTAGAGCGGTTGTTTCCCACCTCCGTAAATCTGACCATAGGGGTCTCTTGAAGGAAAATTGCTAAGAATTTCCAACTGGACTATGTAATCACAGCGCCTGGTATCAAGAGGAGGGGGAGTGACATGAAATCACTGACTTGTGACATACATTCCTCAGCAACAGCAGCTGCTGCCTAATGACAGCTAATAAAGGGAATCTTCCCTTGACAGAGCCGCATGCCTGCAGTGGGACTGGAATGCGCCCCAGATAAATCCCCTGATAACCCAGGAAGCAGAGATCACACCAAACCATATAAAAGACAAGCTTCGAAAGAGAGAGGGTAGGAGAAAGAAGAGAGAGACCTGAAGAGCCATCTCAGAAGAAACAGCTTGAACCTCCCATATTCCCAACGAACCCAGCGCCATGGACACTAGAGGCTCATTTTCCTGTGGTTTCCTCTTGCTGCTTCTTGTCCAGCTGCAGCCCAGCAGGGCCAACCCCATCTACAACCTCAGCCCTGCCAAAGAACTGGCCAGCATGGAGGTGAGAAGACTCTTTGCTTTTAAAATGTTGAACTTTCATGGGGCTTAGAAGTGTGTGCAACTGTGCTTCTGCCTTTTTTTTTTGTATGGTCAGATAGCTGTGTTAGGGATTGCATGTAGTGGTCAAAGTCACAGGGCTTCAGAGAAGCTTTGTAGGGCAATATCCTCCCGTGCTGGGATCACCCAAGCTGCTGGGTGGCAATGGGAAACAGAATTTTCTATGCCGTGAGATGGCTGCTTTGGGTTTTCACCCTTCTTCTCTTAAGCAGTCGCCTCATTTTGAGTTTCTTAATGAATTAGAGCAATGTCCTGGAGAAAAAACATAGCAGTGCATCATGGCATCCCTATATAAAAAAAAAAAGAAAGCTTTCAAGTGGGTTTATCCCACTAAGTGGCAGGTATAGTGAGCCAGGACAGCCCTACTGCTTTGGGTTTGTGGACTTGAGAGAGAAGAGCTGCACGCAGATGGGAGGTGAAGAGGTAAAGCAGAGCACTCAAAGTCAAACTCTGTGCAAACCAAGAGGAACAGTATGATCACGTAACTGTGACACAGCCAGAAAAGACTCTGGAGCTGTAAAATTACCACAGGTTTACTTTAATGAGCGAGACTTAGAGAACATCTACTATTACAATAGCTTGGGAATGATAGAAACTTAAGATTCTGTCTTTAAAGACCAAACCTGACAACTGAAGCATTTCTTTGGACTGGCCCAGAAGCCAGCTCACTGCAGCATCATATCCTGAGAACTAACTCCCTAAAATGATTAGGACAGTGTCAGCCAAAGCTAAAACTGCCTCGTGCCCCCAGGCTCCTCTGTCTCCAGCTGAAAAGAGTGGCTTCCAAATGCACTCACCCTCAAGCAAGCCATGAGGTTCACTCCTCTCTAGCCTACTTCCAGAGATGGATAATTCGATTCTTCTAACTGGATGAGTTGTCCTTGAGCAGGTTGCCTGTTATTCAAAGCTCTAAAAATTATGGAAAATGGCACCCAGAAGGTGAGATAGCAGACAGCTTTTTCATATAGGTATTTTTAAGGAGATGCATATTGCTTTAAGGAGCAGAAATCTTAGACTACCCAGGGTAGAAATAAGTGGAAAACAGCGGGAGCTTCTCATAGTGATGTCCACTGCAATAACTGGGGGTTAAAGGTGAGCAGACTTTAGTCAAAATAAGAAGAGAGAGCCAACAGATGACCAGCAGCATTGCAGGCAACTTCTGAGAGCATGGGAGTCACTATGGCTTCAGAAGTACTTTGAAAGCGTGGACTATTGCTGGGTTGAGTGGTATCTCTTGTTTTGTTTCTGTGCCAAAAGCTCTTCTATCCTTACCAGTGAGACACGGTTCTGTGGCAGACAGCTTCAGTTACAGCTACAGATAGGTGGAATTAATGCAAACAGGGATTTAACACAGAGGACAGAGCTCAGGAACCACCAGCATCTTTGGAATCTAACCTGAGAGATTCCTTAAAGGTGGCTGTAGAACCATAGACAAATTCAGAGTCAGATGAGTGGAAGAGCTAATAAATGATCATGAAACCAGGAGTCTTATGAGATCAATCCTTTTCTTATAGGCTCTTCTGGAGAGACTGGAGGATAAGTTTGCACTGATTGAAGCCCTGGAGTCCAATCCTGACCTGCAAGAGCCCCAAACCCAAGAGGAGATTCCACCAGAACTCATAGATGACAGCGATGAGCAGAAGGCTGAACCCAAACTAGCATCCAACACTCCTCTGTCCTACAGGAACCCCTTCCTCAAGAGACTGAGGGGGGTGCAGATGCCTCGGATGATGAGAGATTCTGGCTGCTTCGGCAGAAGAATTGATAGGATTGGCTCCCTGAGTGGAATGGGTTGCAATGGTGAGTCCAACTTAAGCCATTCTGGTGAATAGGATGGACTGCATTTATGTTTTTGCAGCAAGGGAGGAGCAAGATTTCATTCAAGTCTTTAACAATAAGAGACAGTTAAACACTTTGAGTAAACACTTTGAGAGAGGAGCTCGTTTTAGTCTAATCTTTAAGCTAATATTGGTTTTCCAAAATAAACTTCACGTCTATTGATTAGACGGATGAAAGCACTGCTGACAATGGTGGCATAAATAGAAAGGTTCCAGTAACACTTACTGTGTGTTTGGTTTGCAGGTTCCAGGAAGAATTAGGACCACTTCACTCTGAAGAATGCTACACAGAACCCGTTCCTCCCAAGATGAAAGCTCGTCAACAGAAAGTTATTCCTATTTTTATTTATTTATTTATTTATTTATTTGATTTCTCTCTCTCTTTTTCTTAATAACATTTCTTACTCTGGCACCGTGAGACCATCTTTAAATAAAACTAACACGTTAGATATTTATGCTGGACCTCTCTCCTGTCTGTTGCATTAAAATTTCTTGTATTTTCCTAAAGTCAAAAGCCTACGTTTTATTGGTACTTTGGTACCCACAAGGCTGGATCTCACTTACACAAGACCAAGAAAGTATGAAGCTGGGAAAATAAGAATGAGTTTTTCCCTAGAATTTTCCTCTCCACACTAAGAAATTATAACAGATTAGCAGGAGAAAAAAAAAAAAAAAGCTTGCTCAATGCTGGAAGACCCACAACAGTAGATGTAGTTTCAGTATCAAGAAAGTCCTATTGCTGATACAGATTATTCAGTCAATGCAGCTGCCACTCCACTGCCACAAATCCCTCACATAAGCAAAATTTACAAGAAAAGAAGTAAAAATTAAAGCAAAACACCACAAGTTGGAAGCTAATTAGAGGGAGGAAAGGGAATTCATTGTATATGCTTTCTAGCACCGACCAAATAAAGGCTATAAGCATCAACAGAAAGATACGTCATTGACTGTGTCTTGTCTCACTCTGCATGTGGTTGAGCTGCTGATGCTCAGTGCTTCTTGATGCTTCTCAGAAGGCATGAATTCTATCACAGTACTGAGGGCAAGTGGGATCACTTCAGTTATGAGCAGCTTAACACTTATTCCTTTCTGGGAATCACACAGTTCTGAATATGACTCAAAGGAATACTACTCATTTAAACCTTTGTAGCTGGATTTCACGCCTAAGATCTGAACCTGTCCCAAGCCATGCTTGCCAGGCACTACCCCCACGTCCTCCCCATAGGTTTACATTGCCAGAACCATTCAATTAGCATCCTAAAGATCCCCTTGGGATCAACAGCATTGAACTCAGACTCTACACAACTGCCCTGTGAGTCCACACACCACTGGAAACCGGATTATGGCAAGGATCAAGTTAGGGTTTTGTTTCCAGCATTCATTACTGGAGCACCCAGGAAAGCTCATTCAGAGTGTAAGGTCATAGCAGGATGGATTCAGCTGGTGAAAGAGCACATACAGCCATCAGTGAAGTCTGTCTGAAGAGGAATGATACTTGGGACAGGCAAGGTGCCAGTGCCATGCCAGTTGTTGACAACTGCTCTCAGAAACCACAGCTGTAGTGAACTTGGAGTGCTAACAACTCCTGCATGCCTGACTTCCCACCTGCTGCTATAAAAGGACGTAAAACCAATCCTCATATTCTAACCCTAACAGCCCTTGCTGGAGCTGAATTTTACCCAGTCAAGCAAAACTTGCATGGATGCATCAAGGCCCTGCAAATTATCCTCCCTGTCAGCTCCCGAGGGCACAAAACACTCAAGAGTTCAATGGAACGTGCTAAAAATGGCAAGAAGAGTTGGCACTGCCTGACCCAAAGCCAGGTGGGTCCAGTATTAAGAGCAAGCCAGTTCCCGGTGGAACAGGTCTGTATTGGCTTGCAGACAGCATGTTAATAGACCCTGCGGCCTGGGAGAACTTAATTGAGAGCTGGCAATTTAGGAAAAACGCATCTCTGTGGCTAGATTTTTAGTGCTACTCCCATAAACACACTGAGCTGTAAACCTCCCCTGGGGAAATCGTGCAGACAGGTTAGAATAGGATTGAGTGCAGGAAAGAGCACTTGGAAAAGCTGAATGGGAGAAAGTCAGCTCTGATCAGCTCTATGTGCAAGGAGCATCTCGCCCAAGGAGAAGCAGAGCTACCACAGCACAGAAGAGGGAGCAGACAGTCCCTAACAAGCATAAGACAAAAGCAACCCACTCCGTATGGAGAAAGCAAGGGCACCTGAAAGCTGAACTCCTCTTCCCAGCAACCTGTCGTTGGGCTCACGGCTCAAACATCCAAAGGAGGGTCCTGTTCTACTGTATGTAACATAAGATGCTAAATTCACACTGCAGTCTTTCCCCTTCATGCAGACAGAAGCAGACACCTGAGGACTCTTTATTCCTTTCTGCTGTTTTGATTGCAGTAATTTGCACAGCTGCACGTGCCAGCCATGAAAGGATGCAGCTATTCCTTCTAACTGGGATGTGCTCTCTTTCAGCCGCAGTCAGTCTGATGATGATGAATCCACATGTAAATGTGAGGAGGCTTCCTTCAGGTTTGTAGTGGATCTGCCTTCAGTGCCTATGCATTTCGGAAACTAATCCTGGCAGAAGTTTTTGGAGACAAAGGAGGAACTGCACTAGAGAAGAAGTAAGCAACACCAGCCTGCTGTGAGACCAGGAACCAAAGATTAACGTGTTCCTACTGTCTTCACACCTACAGACACATGCTTTCCAGAGAAACTGCCCCTAAGGGAAGGCAGGGTTTGCAGTAAGTACTGATAACAGTGTAGGAAATGGCCACACACCCAAACAAGCACTTCGGTTCTGCTCTAGCAGCCGTACTAAGAGTCAGACCTGAGACAAGGAGTCAGTGTAGCTTGTAATAGTAAACAATTCAGAAACAGGATGCCTCCGGGACAAGCTATTGCTGCAAAGCAAGAACTGATGGCAAATGCAGATAACAGCGATCACATTACAAGCACTGTTCAGCACCGAGCACAGGACAGCTCTGAAATCCTGCCCTCCTCCACCCTGTTGGGCGTCTGAGTGCTTTATGAACCTTCACGGTGCAAAGGAAGGAACATCCCAGTGAGATCAGAGGAAGACCAGCCCAGCACTCTCCACCAGGCTCCAGTGACATTTGCCACCTCCTGCAATGCCGCACTTCATCCTTTCTTTGTAACAGCTCCTGGCTATAACCCTGACTGGTGGTACACTATCGAGCAGCTTTCTTTCCTTTCAACTTGGAAATGCAGTAATGACAAGGATGTGCTTCGCACACACTGTACAGCCTCATTTGGGAAAGCAGTTCAGTTGGTCCAGGATTCTTACACTCACACCTTTCAAACGTGAAGCCTCAAGATGAACTGAGTGCGCCCTGAAGCAGTTGTCCCAGGACTGTCATTCCCTGCTAGGGTTGTACCATTGCCATTCCAGTGAGAGCTAGTGGACAACTAACTTAATAAGGGAACCTTCTGCTGTCTCTAATACTCAATTCAACAGAGCAAGAGAAAGAACACAATGGGCTTCATTCTTTAAGTGCTATTCCAGCCATCAGCACAAGTAGAAAGAGGTGGGGTCTCAAGATCACAGCCTCGCAGTAAGGAGAAGGAAGAAAAAACAAGAATGAAACAAGGCAGGAAGAAAGTTTAAGATCACAGAAAGGGGCTCTCACACCGCATTGCTGCCCCTCAGGAACTGCTGCTGTCTTGGATTCTTTTTACTGATCACTTGTAATAACCATCCAAATCCTCTCCTCCTGTCATCCTATCTGAATAAAATGAAAGGAAGTGGTACAAGTGGCGTTCCGAATCTGAAGTCATAGGCAAACCTGCCCCCTTCCAGCAGTACAACTCATTATGAACAAAAGGCTGTATCACACATATATTCTGTTTTCCTCACAGCAGATTCGATCACCAAGTGGTATTTCCAAAGAAAGCAGCAGCTTCAGCAGCTTGCAGCTGTAATCAGAGTTTGGGGTCTTTTATGTGCAAAGAAAGCGTTTGTCACACCTTCCCTTCCTATCTCCCAGTTGATGTCTCAGAAAACCAGCAGAATCCTGCATAGAAAAAGAAGCAGAGTTGTGAGGAGAGAGAATTTCTTTTATTTTTATTTTTTAAAGACAAAGTACTGAGAAAGGCTTTCTATGTTGGGAATTGGGAAGAAGCAAAAGAAAGATCAGATCAACGTGTAAAGCTGGGCATCCCACAGAGATACTCTCAGGTACGAGCAGCAAGGAGATGCTGAGTGAGTCAGCAAGGCTCTCAGTGCTGTCTTGCCTTCTCAGTTACAGCTGTGAGATCTTCAGCACAGTGTTGTTTTCTACATTCACCTACACAAGTGGATTCCAGGCTTCTAGACTCATGCTTTTCTTTCTATAGCTCTGAAATAGCCTGGAGAAGGGGACACCTTGACCATACATACAGCAACCTCTAAATCTCATTGAAACTGATAAACTGATGCCCTCCTGAGATGGTGAAGGGGGGCAACTTGCTGCCATCTCATTCCAGCTGAATGAGAATAGTGTGAAAGAACTCTTACACACTACAGTGGATGCTACAGAGGCTGAGTGTATCCTACTGCATTGCTGAAACACACTTCAGCACCTTGGACAGGAAGAGCACCTTCACCCTCTCATCAAATGCAATGAAAGCCTGGGATGGCCATCCTGTTTCTTCCTATGTATGCACTGCATGACACACACCTGTACGTGTATACAGACCTGCTGAAGATGGTGGTTCGTATGTTGCCAGCAAAGAAAGAAAAAATGAAAAATAAAATCTCATTGAACAACGCCAGCTTCTGTTACATAGGCAGGGACTGTAATACATGGTTTAATTGATGAGCCTATAAATCTCGTTAAAAAGGGACTTAAATCTAAATATGTAGCTGGTTGCTTTAACATAAACTTATTGCACAGCTTTTCTCCTAACCACCTCTATCACCCCTGATAAAACACATGACAGCTACTGTTCTTCAAGCAAGAAACATCACTGCTTGTATTTTCTGCAAGAAGGTTGATATCACACCAAACTGACAAGCTGCTCCTGACAACACGACCAGAAGTCTCTTCTTTGTGTGTGTGCTTTGGGAGAGAAAGTAGACAAATGAGTGGTAGCCTGTTACCTCCTTTATTTACTGCTATTCTAAGGCAGTTGTTGATGTGCATGGGTTTTAAGACGACAATTGATGTCTCTCATTTCCTTCCGTGTTACTGCATTTATGACCAAGGGTTGAGGCATTTTCCTCCCTTACTATTTTGCTGCCTCTCCTCAACTCTGATTCCTTCCTAGGAAGGCACCTTAATTAAGAGGACCACATCACTTATGTAGAGCCCACAGCAGGGTCTGCTATCCCCTCCCAACAGAAGCTTTCACCCATTTCAGTCCATGCCTATCATGGCTGACTTCGTGTAAGAGCTGCTACGTGCATCCTGCGTACCACAGCAACCCAAGACAGAAAATCAAGCATGGAAAGGCAGTGAGCTCTTAGGTCAAGTACTTATCCAGTGCTCAAGGACTGTACTTACATTTTTAGCCTATAAGCAAGTGATGAAAGATCAAAATTTGCCACAACTTCTTGGCTGTATGCTCACAAACAGGAACTAAACATGAAATTAAAATTAATTTGGAGATATCGTCTGCAAAACAAGAGGTGCAATATTGCACTCTAAACATGGGTTACGTGGAGGAGAGTGGAAAGCATGAGTTCCCAAGCACAATGCAGCTCCTTATCAAACATCTCTTAATCTCTGCCTTTAAAACACCTTTTCTGAGAGAATATAGAGCTAGAGTGGTTGCAACATAAAGGTTTATAAGAATTCCCATTTCTGCCCAGCCTCAGGGCATCTTCTGAATAAACTTAGATCCAGGTAGATCATAGACAGCAACTGCTCCACTACCTCCAATCACGTTCGTGGGTATTCCCACGTTCTATCAGTTTTATTACAACAAAGGGCAAAAATAAGACAACACTAGAAACATCAAAAGGCTTTGAAGTGCTGAAGGAGACACACAAACATTTTACTCTTAGACATGTTATGGAGTTATGGGTTCATGACATATGGTTACACAAATACTTCCCAAGTGCCATCGTTCAAATAAAAATGATTTCATACAAATTTAAAAAATAATACAATTTATATACACCGTGGAATTAGCTTACATCATTTCATAACAAAAACAGTGCAAAAAGAAACAAATGGAAAGGTAAGTTGCTACCATTGGAATGGCTCACAGTTAATTAACACTGCACAGGAAACCATGAGGCAGGTGCCCCACATTACCCCAAACTTCTGCCATAAATACGAATCCAGTTCTTGGTTCCTCTTCCTTTAGTGTTGTTTTGAGTAACAGGTTATAGGCACCTATGCTAAAAATAAATGCCTTGGTAACCACTAATTAACCAGAAGAAAAGCAGTGAGGGTGTTGTTAGAAAGGAATGCAGCGAGTGGCAAAGTGTGAGAACATGAATGGTTTATTTAGGCAGAGGTGAAATGCTGCATCTCCAAACATCACATAACTTGCAATTTCCCTTCTGCAAGTCATGTATAACCAGTGACTGCACACTCAGATTTCCCCTCAAAAAAAAAGCTAGGAGGGTCACCTGCTATCACTAGTTAAGATTTCTGTACTGACTGGGTGAAACAGGTGTGCTTTGCAGCAGGAAGGTTTGAATCAGATAGATGTGTAGGCAGGGCAGACAGTGCTGACAGCTGACTGAAGGCTTTCTCATGAGGATGCAGAGCTGGTGCTCAAACTTTGGCAAGATTTTTCAGCCTGTCTTGCCTAAATCACTGAATTCCAGGCCTCAAGGGGAGGAAATCCTGCAGCTACCTCAGCTGCTGCAGCTTGTGCAGAGAAATAAAGCAGGAGGGAACAGCTCATGGCAATTTAAGGACTTCAGATTCAGGTGCAGGGAATGAAAAAAAACCTTCCACACAATCACTCAACATGAGCAAGAAGAAAAGGATTTGGCATGGAGAGACATAGAGCACTCCTTGAGAGGTTCTCTGACAGTATGGGATTGTAACAGCTTGAGCACAAATCCTTGGAATGAAAGGAAGGTTAGCAGAAGCATATTTTAAACAACTGAAGCTTCAGGGAGTGCAAAGGTGTGCTGGAAATTTCTCAGGGTAGCTTAGTGCAAGACCAGTTTTCAGGGAAAAACCAGATTTTAAAAACCAACTGCAGTACATCCAGAGAAAACAACCTTACTCTATACACAGGGAAACAACTTGGAAGTCAACAGCAGAAGCCAATACCAGCTTGTATGCTCTAAGAACAATGCTACATCTGTCCCAGCTAAGGAGTTGAGATCGAAGGCACAAGATGGGTACTGGCTGCAGGAAAACACCTTTCTTCAACCTAGGAAGTTTAAGAGCTTGCTTGCCTTACCTGAAATGGAGCCAAAGTATTCAGAAGCCAGCAGAACTGCTTTGAGTGGAGGAGACAAGAGCTGTTGCTACAAGCTCCACAGTTAAGAAAGAGAAAAGAATGAATCAGTTTCTGCTCTTTAGTGTCGGTGCCTTTTTAATCAACCCTGGAAAGCAGCCATGGCTAACAAATGGTCCTGGGAATTAAAAAATAAAAGTTAAAAAAAAAAATCTAAGTGCTTCTGAACAGCTTTGATAAAAACCTTTCCAGCAGAGCTGTGCTCTGCTCTGTATGACAAGGGCCAATTCTACCTCAACATTTTGTTTCAAGACCCATCTCTAATCTGCAGGACAAAAACTAAGTGCATCCCATGACTTAACCGTCTTTCTTGCAAGCACAGCCAGAGAATGTATCAGTCCCTCAGTTATCCAGACTGCAAAGGCAACACAATCATCTAAGGAGCTCCTGTGACTTGAAGAGCCATATGTGAAGACTACAGCTGGTGTCCTAAACACCAAATTTCCTGGCTCTAGCTACAGCAGCTTGCAGAGCGCTGCCCTGCAACAATTAGCTTCCACAAAGTCCAAAAGGCTGCTTTAACAGATGTAGTGCTTAGACATATAAGGAAAGGGCACCATTTCCTCAGGCTCAGTCAGGTAAAGCTTCAACATACATGAATTCCTCATTTCAGAACATAAAATAACGGCCAATTTCCTTCTGCTGCATCTCTCACCTCACTAGGTCCTCATGGCAGACAACAGGTTAAAAGGAGTGCTCAGACACTGTGCAGAAGCTTTCCTGGGACACATTCCCTGTGTTACTTAGCCCAGTCTCTTGGCTGAGAGAATGCTCTGTGCTTTATCAAGCCAATCAACTCCGCAGCCCCTGGAGGCACAACGTTGGCTTCCCACCCACAGTTAACTGCATGCAAAACTCACAAAGGCAGGTGCCTGCTGGAACAATACAGGTGCTGGCCAGGATGGTACCTGCTAAAGCAGTGAACTGGCTGCAACTGGCTTTTAAATGCTGTTTTTACCTTCACAGACATTTGGCTGTTGCAGTTGCAAATGTCATTCCAATCATTTTCAGAGCCAGACAGCCTCACTTACCAACCTGCTGTACAGTCCTAACTGCCAGTCACCAGCAGCAAGTATCCCTCCTGCATGGCAGCCTCAAGTTACACCAGCTCCTCTCACTACAGAGATCATTCAACCAAACATCAGTTATAACTGCCTCCAGAAATCAAAATTCTCTGTAGTGTGAGGAAGTGGGCTTCCCTCCTCTATAGCTGTAGTTTTAAAGGTGTCCCAGGCTCTCTCTGCTGGGTCACTACAAGAACACAGTACCTATAAATACAGGAGTGTCAAGTTGAGTGCCACAACGTACCTTAGGAGCATCTCTTGCAGGGAGATAATGGTAGCAACAGCTAACAGGGAAAAAGAAATCTCCCTTCTCTGAGATGCTCAGTGTATTAAATATTTATAGTCCAGGCAGTAACTAGAATTAAACTGTTTGGAACTCCTGATTTTCCAAAAATGCTCTCAAAAGTCAGCTGTTGTCAAAAAATGTTACATAAAGGATGCTCTCCCATGGAAAGAGTTGAAAACTTAGGGGGAAAAAAAATGGAGGCAAGGGTGGAAAAATATGGGAAATTGAGAGCACCCACAAAGTGATGTGCATTTTCAGAGAGTTGGCTTTTTGTGCTGCTTTTGAGAAAAGCCATCTTCCAAAGCAGCAATTTGATAACTTCATTATCTCCTCTCAGCCTTGACAGCTATTCCCCTCTTACACAAGTAAGGCAAAAGTTGCAGGAACAAGAGAGGAAGAGGAGAAGGGAGATGCACAGGAGGACAGGGAAAAGATGGTGCAGTTCTCTGCACAGGGTAGAATGGTGCTAGATGGTTCTTTCATCCAAGCCTCAAAAATAAACCAAACCAAAACAGCAGAACGTATACTGCTGGGACAACATCTGATGAAAGGCTAGGGCACAGGAAAAGAAAAAACCTGGATGAAGAGTGGTCAAACCAAGTGCCTGAGACTAGTCAGTAGCTCTGGACTCAAGCAGTTCCTCTAATTCTCTGGCTAGCAAGATGTTTTCCAGCTCCCCAGGCTTGATATGCGTGTGAGAAGCCAAATGGCCAGTCTTGGGCCTTGTTTGGTCCAAGCAGAATGCAAGCGCGTGTGCAGGCTTGGAAGAGGGAGGCAGCCACACCAGCAGTGGGGCAGGATGGGCAGGGGCATCAAATGGTCTGATAGTGTTGTCTCAGCCTCGCCTGCAGGAATTCGTGGGTCAGGTTGTGCCGAGTGATTATCCCAACAATCTTAAAGAGGAAGAAAAAAAGAAAAGAAAGACATGTCAGTATCACAGACGTGCCACTAAGAGATGTGCATGGTAGAGCTGCTGTTCTTTCCAACCCAAAAGAGCAAGTGAGAACCTCCAAGCAGTTCTTGGTCAATACAGACTTATAGGGGGGTTCAAGTTCCAAAACTACAGCCCCTTCTTGAAGCACACATCTACAGGCAAGGTACACTGCTTTAATGACACCCAAATGGATAGCTTAGCTCCTGCTATATCTGGACACAGCAATAGTTACCCCTGCTTATAAAGGAAAAGCTATTGGAAATGTCAAAGCTGTCTCATATAGCTTAGAGACATCTCGTTTGCCACATGACAGAATTGCAGATTGCTCACACAAAATTCTAAGCAGCTCTAAAGATGAAGCAGTAAAACAAGCAAAGTGGTGAATGCACACTGACTGTCACCAGCTAGCAGGTCACAAAAGGGGCCCTCTCTGCCAGACTGCTGGGAAACAGTCAAACTACAAATCTCAGCCAATGAAACAGCTCAGTAATTTTACACAGCGAGAGTTCAGAGCTGGGCTGCTCTCTGGTACTGCAGGAGCATCTTGTATTAAATGTGGAATGAGTTTACAGCACATGTTTTCCAACAAGTTATTTAGGATAGCTATTAGGAACATCAAAAGGCAAAGACAGCACAGCTGTTTCATTCGGACAGACCAGTTCTGGCTATTATTACCAAGATTTTGTCTCCCTGTTCAGGCTTAAGGGAAACACTTTCTCATTATGCTTATAGGAAGTTACTGACACCTACTGACTACTCCTGCACACTGTAGATGGCAAGAGACAACTACGGTGAAACGAGCACAATTTTGTTTTGCTGCCCCTACAAGTAAGAACAGGATGCAAGCTCCTGTCCAACAGGAAAACCTCCTGTCCCACTATAAGGGAAATTCTACTTTTGGTCTTGAATAAAGCTGTTAAATAAGTGAAATTGTTGACTTCTTAAGAGCTCCAGGACTCTTAAAAGCTACAAGACATGCCTCCACATGCTGTTATAACTTGAGAGAGGAGGCAGTCTGCATGTCCTTTGGGTGAAGACAAGGAGCAGAGTTGAAAACTAAAGATGGTAATGAAGTCACAGCAATTAACAGTGCTCCAGAGTCTTAAGACCACCACGTTCTGACTCCATTAAAATGTGCCTGTTTGACATTAAAACAGATCTTAACTCTCCTAAAAGCAAAAACCACATCTGCTTCCTTGCTTAAAAGAGACAAAACTGAGATAAGGACTTACCTCTCCAACTGCGTTCACAACTGGTAAATGTCTGAGCCCCATTGTCCTAAACAAATTGAAGACTTGAGATACATGAGTGTTTGGAGAAACAGCAAAGGGTGACGGGTTCATGTATGGGGTGACATCCTAAGAAAGAAAAAACAAGATATTATTTACAAAACGCATTTTCAGTAGTTCTGGAAATCACTAATAAGCAATTGCTGTAGCCCCTCCAACTCTCTCATCTCTGGACAGCATATCCATCTATGGGAGTATTCTATTTCTCTACAAAGTTATTTTATTTTCAGAAACCTCATTTGTCACAATTGCTTTTAACCCATAATCTTAAGAAAAGCCTAATGCTGCAGAATGCCTCTAAGCAGGATAAATGTAGGTCCATGAAGCTCCCACACGTAAACAAGGCTGGATGAACGCGTGAAAAGCATGTGATGTTGGCCACTGCACAGAGGGTTGAGCTCAACCGTACTCTTAGCACTTTTTAAAGGCTTAAAACAGCTCTAAATGTTTATCAGGAAACACTGTCACATTGCAGTGCATCTCTTACCACTATCATGCGAGGGTTCAGCAATGTGAGGTCCAGGTCATGGATATCTGGATAGCGGGGATAATCCTCTGACATTTCTGCATGAGACAGACGAGGCTGACTTGCACTCTGCAATTAAAACAAATGCCACTGAATCAAGCTGCCACCTTCCCACATAGTTCACAGCCTGCAAGCAGCACAGCTAACAGTGCTTCCCAATGACATACGCTTATTCAGACTGCCTTCCTCCTCTCCCCACACAAAAATGCCTTTTCCAAAAGCATTCCTCCTAGTTGCTCATCTCAGTAAAACCATACAACGAGAGTAATGGATATGCTCTCCAAACTCTGGCACATCCTGGTTGAAAAGGACTTGATGGTACTGACAAGCTGGATGTAAGCCAGCAGTGTGTCCACACAGCCCAGAAAGCCAACCATATCATGGGCAGCATCAAAAGAAGCACAGTCAGCAGGTTGAGGGAGGTGATCCTGCCCCTCTGCTCTGCACTGGTGAGACCTCACCTGGAGTATTGTGTCCAGATGTGGAATCCTCAAAACAGAGACACATGGACCTGTTGGAGCATGCCCAAAGGGGACCACAAAAATGGAACACCTCCCTGCATAGACAGGCTAGGAGCTGGGGCTGTGCAGCATGGAGAAAAGGCGGCTCCAGGGCCTGTCAGTATTTAAGAAGGGGACAGACTCTTTAGCAGGGTCTGTTGTGATGGGACAAGGGAAAATGGTTTCCAACTAGAGCAGGGGAGATTTAGATTGCATATAAGGAAAAAGTGTTTATTTTACAATAACAATGAAGCCCTGGCATGGATCGAATATCTCCAAAGATTGGACTCCCAGGTCAGGATGAATGGGGTTCTTAGCACCTGATTGAGCTGTAGGTGTTCACTGCAGGAGAGTTGGACTAGATGACCTTTGAAGGCCCTTTCCAACCCCAAAATTTCATGAACATGTGGGAAGGAAAAAAATAGGATTGTGAAAACTGGGCCCCAAACACAGATGCTCATAATGATTTCAGCAATAGCTGAAGATCTTCTGGTAAAAGCTTGGCTCATTGGCAGCAAGAAGACACAGTATATGCTGCTGCTTGCCCTACTTGTATTTTAAGAACCATTCTCCATTCCCCAGTTTTACTTGCGCCTTCATGCAACAGACACTTGCATGAGCCAATTTTCTTCATCCCAAATACAGTAGCTGTTCTCTTTCCTTAGATGTAAAATGTTAAAAATAGGCAAAATATTCTTGTCTGCCCATAAATATTGTCCCCAGCTTGCTGAACTCAGAGGGCAGAGATGTCTTTGCTACAGTTCTAGATTAGGAAGACTCACTGACTGGCTCTCGGAGTAACAAACACCCCTGACAAGGAGGGTGACCAGCTGTGAGCGCAAGATCAAGCCATGGAAGGTCAAAGGTCTGAAACGTTCCTCCATGGTCCACTCTTCACTGGGAGACTGGTCAGGATACAGATTGGGGTAAGGAGTGTATCTGTGAATAAATGCATGGTGTAAGTTGCCTGAACATAAGGAGAAACACAGATCCCATCCTCCAAAACAACTGCTATTTCTGGTCTTTGCAACCTTCTCCAGAATATTTCAGGGATTCTTGCGAGAGACAAGCAAGTCATTTCTACAGACAACCAGCAAAGGGTCAAATGCCATTACCATGGAAAGAGCATTACACCAGCAGCAGAGTGGAAATAGTCTCCTAACTATCAGTTTAAGTTCACTTCCTACTAAAGCAGTTTTCAGTGCCAAATTACTCAGATTCTAATAAAAGCTGGAGTATCTGGTGGGATGGCAGTGTGCAACTCCACCCATACATGTCACAACACTAGGTTAGAAACTGATTAACCACACTGGGCTTCTGCTTGGAAACAACTGCAATACATGCCTATTGACTCAGCCTAGTTACCAGAAAGGTGATATCAAGTACTACAGAAAAAACTCATTAGCTCCTCTCTTGGGAGGAATGAGCTTCACAGAGCACTCAGGTTTTTTTGCAGAAAATAAGGTATCAATTTCTACAGCAAAAGCATTTCCCCAGGTAGTCCATCCTCTCCAGGTAATATTTCTGTGTAGATACTTGATGGAAATTTAAATTAAAAAGTCAGCATCAAACTATTATCCTAGGACTCAGTGCAGGTTCCAGCACTGCCTAATGAGTCCTGACAACAGTTCTAAAACATGGATGCTAGTACTGCTTCCTCCAGCATATGAAGAAATGGGGACTGTATAGAAACACCCTGTTTCTAAACCTTCATGATCTCACCTTCTCTCTAGCATTTGTTGCAGCAAATCCTCCTTTTCTGGTGGCTCCTCTGTTGTTATGTGCTCATCGCACATGTTGCGCAGCTCACTCGAAGGATAGGATTTCATGGACTGACTCCGTTTGCGCTGCTCTCCAGCTCGGGTGAGAATGCTGGATTTCTGTGCACAACAATGTTCAGATATTCACTGAGCAGGTCAACAACTGTCAAAGAGTGACTACAAACTGTTTGCTTAGGAAGTCAGGCACCTTTTTGCTAGATTCATTATTCACTGCAACCTTGTTTCCCCCTTCCTCCTTATGTGAACGAGAGAAGCATTTAGGCAATTATTATCAGGTTCAAATGTGGATTCAATACTTCAGTGCTGAATCCAAAATTTCTCCATGTCTATCCTGAACTGGTTACTTAAAAGGAACCTTCCTCACTTTTGCTTCTAGAAATGCAGCCCTCTGTTCTGCCTCTGTCGTGATCAGGAGAATGGAATGAAACTGCATTTCTGGAAAGTTTATATTTTGGTAGGTGCTCGTGTCTGGTCTGAATCCTGCACTGAAAATCATCTACATAACAAAGGAAGGGGTCTTCCACCTGCACAACCAAACTCTTTATTCTTGGACTTGCTGAAAAAGCAGCTTCTTACCTTGAATTTGATGTTGTTGCTGATCAGCTGATTTCCCTTCATGAACTCCCTCTCGTTGCCCCGATTCTCAGTCACAACAGGGAAGGCATGATGAACAGTTGTGCGCAAGATGCTAACGAGGGATTGGATCCGAGTGTGGGGGTAGACATAGGTCAGGTTGGGTTCCATGATGTCGCTGGCTCGTAGTCTGAGGAAACAGAAAAATCCAAGATTGCTGCATGCATCTCATCAGCTCCTCAGATCTCCACCTGTCCAACCCTCCTCAGCAAGGGCTCCAGCACCTATTTCCTGCTCAGGCCTGATGCACAACTTCCAGCTCCTCTCACAGCAGTTGATGCAGCCAGGTTTGTTGGACATGCAGCAACATCCTTTCTCATTACAACATTCCTTTCTGAGGAATGTTTCTAAGACAAACTCTAACCCACAGCCCTGCCAAGAGTAGCAGCCTTACTTATCCATTTCCACCTCTGTTTCCCACTCTAGAAGAGGCACTCCTCTCAAGTTCACATGGATGTCATAGATTCCTTTGTTGAAAAAGTCTCCTGTCCATTTGGCTACCTGTGGAGCAAACAGAAGGCCTCCTGAGTTGTTCCCCCAAGTAAAAGACTTCTTGGCTCAAGGTGGCCACAGTAGAAAGAAAGATTCAGGGCTGGCACATGCTCGACAAGCCAGAGTTAAGACTCACCATGAGTGTGATCATTATTGGGAGCCCATAGGTGATTTCATTGGTGGATTCAATTAAGATTACAGTCAGGCTAATTGTCATCCGGACCACCCCTCCCAGGAATGCTGCTGCCCCAATCAGTGCGAAGGTTCCTGAGTAGATGTGATCCAAGCCAATATAGCTAGGGGAAAACAAAGAGCCCTGAGATTAGAATAACCTGACTGAGAGCTCAGCATGCACCTGCAGCACATCTCTCACACACATTCAATGCACCTTTTGAGGAGGTTGGCGACCAGGCGTCCGAAGGCAGCCCCACAAAGCAGTGATGGCACAAAAAGACCACTGGGCACAGAGATCCCGTATGTCCAGCAGGAGAGTAAGAAATAGAGAAGGAAGAACAAGGAGAGTGTGACTGGGCTGAAAGTACCTGCAACACAAGAATAATCATGACTAAAGGAGAAAAGGTCTGTGGAACAGATAGCAGTCTTCCACCATCCACCCTTCGGCTCACAGCAGACCCATCTCACAACAGTCTCACAGTTCAAACACACATGAAGACAGTGAGTAAGCAGAAAAGAAGGAAAAGCAGGCCTTTCTTTTCATTGAGAGGTCTTTACTCTCTTGTACCAGCAGCCCCCTGAGCTTGAAGATGCTTTTAGCTTTACAGTTCTTGCGACAAGACTGTTTTCAAGCAAAATGAAGCTCTGAACCCTAAGAATAGCACAAGGCACTGCCTGCTAGCTACTCACCATCTTGATGGAAGAGCTGGAGGATAGCTGACTCCTGAGGGTTGAAGAAGAGGGTGGCCATGTCATTATAGGTTTCATTTGGGCAGAAAAATGTTTTGATGCTTGAATTCACATCTTCTGACATGCCCTGATGAAGAACACAAAGGACACGAAGAGTTAAAATCTACTCCCTGCTATGTCAGCCATTGTGTAGAATGGGAGTAACCCTTCTGTACAGGGCTCTCAGCACATAATTTGAGATGATCAGACCAAAACAACAATGGCAGACATTAGGCCTGCAGCATCAACACACTGATTCACAGCTTGAGCATATTTGCCAAACTACAAAAGCACAAACTGCAGCTTTCACTATTACCTTAAGGTTCTGCAACTGCCCATAAGCTTCCATTCAAATTTTCTGTACATACTGCATGGCATCAAGAGCTCGTTACCTGCCTGTAGTCTTCTGATGGGTGAATATGAAGACGACAAACATGGAATCATAGAAGATTTCTCACCTGCATACTCAAAGTGTCATTGCCAGTGTGACTGGTGGAAGACATCTGCCGGCACTCCCCCAGAACCATGGAGGCCACAAAGACGACAACGGTTGTAGTCAGTGACACAAGCAGGCTCTCCAAGACTCTGTAAGCACACAGCAGAAACCACACACTGAAGCCACACATAGACCCATAACCCAGTGTGGGCTCTGACTCTGAAATAGGAAGAAGCAGACACCACAGCTTAATACTTGAAAGCAGGGGAGCCTGCAAGCCAGGCTGAATTATGACTTGGTGGCCAGGATTGCATTAGCTCCCTTTTTTAATTTCCTGTCCCTTAAAGGAGCTATTTCTGTTCTCAGAACACCTAGTCACATATAAAAAGCCACAGGGAAGAGCTCAGTGATGATGCTGTTCACATGGAAACAATGTTCTCTGTATCTTTACAACATAGATGACTATCCTGTCTAGACACGCTGGACAGGTTGATGCACAGTCTCTCCTACCTCCTTCCCAGCTACTGAAATACCTTTTCCTTTTCCCCTCTAAACCTGGGCTTCTCATTTAAGAACACTGCCTACATCAGTCAGCTTCCAGAACTGCATGGCAATTCTCTAAATGCCTCAGGCAGAGATTAGTTGTGGTTTCAACCACACAAGATAACAATCTACTCTTTCTACATCTGTTTGGACAAGATACAGAAGAATCCTGCATGGAGATGAAGCTCTATTTTGCTCAGGTATAAACATGAGAGCCCCCTTCACAGCCCGTATAGGGGGATTCCAGCCTTTGGTACTCCACCATAGTAATTACAGAAACAGCAATAAACTGTAAGAATTCATTTTTGGTTTTCATTTTTAAATTTCTATAGATGCTTCATTTTGTGATTTCAATATGAATACATCCAGCTTTTCCTCCAGTCCTCTAGATTGATGCATTTGCTTTGGGATGTTGAACACAATGAGACAGCTGCACAAGCTCAAGAGAGCACAAATACCTGACAAGCTTTGGTTTGGGATGCACATTCCGCATGCGGTACTTTGCGAGCCTCTTGTTCAGACAGTTGAAGGTGGCTCCAAGAAGACCTCCTACAATTCCCATCAGAATGAAGAAGCCCAAGTCCACAGCTGTCCAGAGGTGGCACTTCTTATCAGACTCAGAACACTGTGCAATAAAGCATAAGGAACCCATTAGTAGCTGTAGTTTCCTGCCACTGCTTCTGCCTTAACAGCAAGATAGCTACAACCATAGTGGAGCAAACCTGTCTTAGGCCATCAGTGTGCTGCTGCTAAACATAATGGCCCTTAAATCAAACACACAGACATGTATCCACAAAACCAGCAAGAAATACTGAACTGACCAAAGAGGGAATAACAGCAGTGCTAAATCTTACCTTGAACTCTCCGAAGTTCAGCAGACCAGGGAGCTGAAAAGACCCCCAACTCCCAAACTGAATCCCAGAGCGGAAGAAATTCAGGGTGAAGGTGGCAGCCATGGAACAGAAAAGCTAAGCAAGTTAAAACATGGAAAGAAATTAATTAATCACAATTAAAACTGGCACAGTCAGCCCTTCCTTCAGACTTATGGCTGGAGAAAGAAGCATCAGAACCCTTATGAAAATGGTCATTATGCTTCATGAACACCAAGCCATATGAAAATGGTCCTACTGAGGGTGCCCATTTCCTGCTGCAAAAGAGAGCAGGCTTAGAAGGCACTACTATAATCAACTGATCCGGCTTCCCACATAAGAAGAGTTAGGAATTTCACCCAGTAATTCCTCCAGCATTTTTTTTTAATCAGAGATAGTAATTTACAGTTAAGAAACAATTACAAGGCACTAACACAGCTTGTTCAGAGGGGGAATTGAGGCCTTCTGACAGAGCTGCCATTTTAGCAAATCCCTGGCTCCTCAAATCCCTGCTGAGAAACAGCAGACTAACTGAATCCCACCAACAGGGCAGTTTGTGTAAGAAACACCAAAAACATAATGAGATATGACATGTTGTTAGAAAAACTGTCAACTTCACAAAACCAAGCACTATGGGCAGAAAAATCCACAAATAGAATGTACAGGGCATTGCTGCAGTACAGCTCCTCAAGGCACAGGACAGCAGAAAGAAATTCAGCACCTGCTTACTCTGCTCTCAGAGAAATGGGCTGCAAAGGTCCAGGCATAAAAGCCATTTCTCTCATGTACTTGAGAAAACTATGCCACCTATAAAGCTGTCTTGTAGTTCTGGACAGTACCAGATTACTCTCTGCCCTTGATCTGTATTAATTCTGGGGCACTGATAGAGAAAGCAATCTCTCCCCTACCAGGAGGGCTCAGGAGGAGACACAGAATAATGTGAGTGCCCTCACAGACAAGTTCTCTCCAAGGTCCAGCTCAAGGAAGAGACACACAGAGAGAGCCAGGCACCTACTTACCACTTTCCATGTAAGTCCTTGGTTCCAGAAGGAGGAACCTTCTTCCAGGCTGAAAAGAGTACCTCCAATTGGGGCTCCAAAGGCAGCTGCAACCCCTGCAGCTGCTCCAGCAGATACAAAGTCCCTTTTATCCCTGAAGAAGAAAAGAACACCAGTTTAGCAGCAGAGTGCTGTGAACGTGCTTATAGATCGCACAAAATAAGGAACAGTTCCCATTTATTGATATATTCTAAGGATGTGTGAGTAACAGTGGGGAGAAGTACTGGCCATGGAAAACAACACCATTTGATCAGCAAGTTGTTGCAGCACCATGCTCTTTTTCTAGAGCACCAATACAGAACAAAGCACCGTGGTGCTACATGACTGCTAAGTATACAAGGAAACATCCCAAATCATGGTGCTCCAGCATCACCTGGAAAAATTCCAGAGAGGGAAGGGCAAGCTTTTGTTCACATTCAGGTGGAACCGCCTTCTCTGGAGCCTATCTTGGTCATAGAGGGTGCATAACGGAGCTTGTTACCAACAATGAAACCATTTAACTACTCAGATTAAAGGTTTTAAGTTGGTAGAGATTTGCTGAGCAGTATGAAAGAACATTGGTGAATATGGAGATCAGAGCTGGGATTCCTTAAGGACAGCATGGAAGAGTCACGTTACGGATCCTGGTGCTGTCTTGCTGCAGAATGAGGCTGCAGGATGCTACAGAAAAAAAATAAGTGACTGGTTCATCTCAGGCAGCCACCCTACTCCCAAGGATATCTGCTCAATTCGCTCTTCCTTCCCCTTTCCCTCTTCTCCTCACCCTGCAGACAGTACCTGTCACTGCGGAAATATGGGAAGTTGAACTGGATCTTCCTCAGTGAGATACTCTGGAACTACAAAGAAAGTAAAGATTTAGAAAATGCAGGTGATAGAAACTTACTACTCACAGTACTCTTACAAAGCAGTAGTGTGGACTGCTGCTCCCTAATCAATGTCTTGAAGAACAGAATGATTTTCTGCCCAGGCCAGCACTAACCTGGGGCAAACCTGCACCCACGACAGCACCGCTGTGGATCATTGGACCTTCCTTCCCAACAAAAAGACCTGGAAAAATAAGATTGATAAGTCACACAGAATCACCAAGGTTGGAAAGGACCTTCAAGATCATCCAGTCCAACCACCCACCTATCACCAATAGTACTCACTAAAAGTAATCAGCATATTTCCTGCCCTCTTCCTTGCTGACAATGCCAGGACAGATCATCTCACCACTTCCATGGCATGGCACCACTCCTCTGTACCAGGCCATAAGGTATACAAATGGTTTCCAACACCTCAGCTGAGTTCAGGCTCCTCTCTCCTCTCTAGGGAAAGGGAGCTGTTGAACCCTGTGCCCCACAAAGATTTGTGAACAGACTTGCAAATCGGGCAGAAGTACTCAAAGACTACTCCCTCAGTGACCCTGAACTCCCCAGGTTACTGTGTGCCCTGCTGCTTACAACACAGCCTCCTTCAGACTGCTCTAAATAACATGTTCTGGAGAATTCTCATGTCTCCCTCTGAGCCACAGAGTGATGCTTCTTGCTAACCAACCTAGAAGAGCACCTGCTCCCTTAACAGCTCCATTCCTTCTGTCTTACTGACTCTCACAACTAGCCCATCAAAATCATTTCACCAGAAAGGCAGAGAAGCCTTCTGCACCCTCCCCTTCATTTCTCTCCCTTCAGTGATTCCTTGCCCAAACAAGATATTCACAGCCCTTCTTACCTCCTGCTACACTGAAGAGCACTCCCACAGCTTTGCACACCACCGTCCGGAGCCGCACAACCCCTGGAACTTTTACCCCATTGAGGTAGCACTTAATTTCAGGAATTCCTGATCCAGCTGCCACAGGCTGCAGAAAGGAAACACTGATGCTGTGCTACACTGATGTCAAAGCTGACTGACAACATCTCAATCAGAAGGCACAGCAGGGGATCGAGAGACATTATTTAGCTAAATCAAATGACACTGTGAAGTTAGTTGGATGCCTTGGGCTGTGGGCAAGAAGGAAGCTTCATACCTAGAACCCATGTCAGAGTAAAGAAAGAATGTGTAAAGTGCAGCAGTGGACTTAAATCTTACCTGGATCAGGACTAGAAGACTTGCAAGAAAAACAAAGGTCAAGTTGAACCCCAGCAGCTCCAGTAAAGACAAGGCAAGACAGCCTTTCTCAGTGCATTCTTCCACCGCTGCATGAAGGGTCAAGGAAAACAACAACATTCCTCCCATTAACACACAATCATTTGGTGTTGTCTGGTACCAAGAGCCAAACTTGTGCTTCCAACTCCAGCCAGGGAGATGACAACCCATCAGAGAACCCATCACCCAGCCAGAGCTCAAGGGTGAGCTATAAGGAAGGGAAACAACTCAATCTTTCAGAGATTAGCCTTTGCCCACATACTGATACCGAAACTACTTACTTGGTTTCGAGGGCTGAACAACACAGGCATATTCAAACCTGATTAATCAACAATGTGATTGATGGCAAAAGTCTAAAAGAATCAGCTGCTCTGAGCAAAACATGGCAATAGGAAGAAAAGGGTCACTCGAGTCCAACAGGACTCCAACCATCAGATAAAAGATACAGCTTTGTACGACGCGGAACTTGAGCTGGGTAAAGAGCCGCACAAAGAAATCCACAAAGAGGCCCACCTATGAAAAAAAAGACAGACCTGTCATCAGAAATCACTACATACAAGCAACAAAGACCACCCTCCAGCAAGCCCTACCAGGAATACACACACGTGAGAGGACAGAAGATGAAGAATGCAGAGTAAGTATTCAGAGTAAAGTAACTTGGGAAGCTTAAATTCAGTGCCTCCCTTGTTCTCACTGAGACAGATCCATCCCAGAATTATTTCACTCCAGAGCATTAATCTGGTAGCATTTTTAACACCTACAACATATGTCATGGTACATGAGAAAGCTGATGTTTAACTGAGGCATTAACACAGTCAGAAAAGCTGATTTTCAAGCACATACAGTGAAGTCTGCGCTGCCAAACATAAACACGGCTCAACTGTAAACTGGCATTCTGTTTGATTAAGTGCTCACTTTAGACAAGTTCTGCAGAGTTAAAGAATTTGTAAGAATACTTTGCAAAGAAAATACAGCAACATCTGGAAGAAAAAAAAGCTCTCCTGGAATATAATGCATCAACACTGTGCTTTAATTCCCAAAAGCCGCCTCCAACTAGGAAGTTCTCCACTTCATGAACATAAATGTTTACTCATCTCCCTTTCTTTGCCACTGACTTCTAACTTATTCCTGCTGATCTTATCCCAAACAGCATGATCCTTACCAGTCCTGTGCAGACTCCAATGGCAAAAACCATCACCCATTTCACTGCTTCATAGTTCCGGGCTTTCTGTTTAGAAATAGGATTTAAAAAAAAAAAAAAAAAGAGCCTGGTCAAAGGAACATACAGAGATCAGAAAAAGGTGGACTTTCTACAGCTTTAGCTCTCCAGATACTAAAAGCTGAAAAAAACAAGTTCCTACCTTGTTGTCCATGCTCTCCAAAACTTCCAAGTATGGGTCATTGATACAGCGATCATAATCCAAGCTCTGGAAGAAAGCCAAAAGGTCAACCTAAGAACATCAGCTGCTATGGACTGTGCAAGAATCTGCTCACAGATGACCTTGTTAAAGATTACAGAAGTCATTACTTCCCCAAAGCTTGTTTTGCAAACAAGCGTGGGAGGCAAAACTTCTGTAAGCAACTTTGTTTAAGTATTTCCAGCAGAGCCAGGCTCTGAGAATTGAGAAGTTAAAGAGCAGATCAGGATAGGGAACAAAATAAACTGATTAATACAACTTTAATTTAAAGTCAGAATGTACAGATTTAGACCTTACTTTTTTAGGTACTTCCAATGTGACAGTGCAAGGGGTAACATCAGATTTAATCTTCAATTACAGCAGAAGCTCTAGGTAGGAATTCTCAACAGGCAGCATCAGCTCTGAACTTCATCAGAGGAGGGAGTTAAAGTAATAGTTGTCCCACTGTAGTCACAAAGTATCACTACTTTCTACCTGTATCAACTTCACTTTTTTGAGCCAAAGGGTAACAGGTTGGTGTTCCACCAAGTAGTAACAGCTTGCTGACATCCATGCTGACAGCAGCTCCTCTAAATAACTCAGGGCCACTATTCAGACACTTAACAACCAATAATCTCCTGTAGGATTCAGGACCTGATAGATGGGAAGATCTGCTTTGAACCAGCACTACACCACAGTCAGCAATAAAACAGTGAGCAAGGAGTTGTGGATGCTTTCTACAGCCACAATGACATAAGACCACAAGAGAATGTACATTTCATGTTGTTTATTTTTAAAAAGCAAGAAAACAGATTTAGAAAATGCACTTTCTTAATAGGAAGCTGACTTAAGCAGCAGATGCTCAAGACCTACTCAGAGCACAGGGCTCTAACCTACAAATGCCATGTCAATGGATGCAGAGCAGGTCTTTGCAGAAGCAGCAGCTTTTGGCATTCCTGTAGTGCCAAGGAAATCTAACTGTAGTGATGCAGTTTGACTGCTTGCCCCATTTCAGACTCAAATTGATCAAAAGCTGCGTGCATTTCTTTCACAGAATCACAGGACTGTAGGGGTTGGAAGGGAGATCATCAAGTCCAACTCTCTGCCAAAGCATTTTCTCTACAACAGTTCATACAGGAAAGCGTGCAGACAAATATTGAGCAGCTCCAGAGAAGGAGACTCCATCACCTCTGTGGGCAGCCTGCCCCAGTGCTCCTTCACTCTGACAGTAAAGTTCTTCCTTACATTAATACAGAACTTTGATGTGGCCGTTTTGGCTCATTGCTCCTTGTTCTATTGCTGCAAAAGGAGACCAGCCCCACTGATGTGACTCCTGCACTTGAGATGTTTAGGAAGTTGATGGGAGCTGATGCTTATTGCTCACCTCATAGTCTTTGCGTGGCAGGATCTCATCTTCCTCCTCATGAGTTTCTCCCAGGATTGTCTACAGAACAAAAGGGCAACATGAAATGAAAAATCATCAGCGGGATGAATGCAGATCCCAAAACGAGGATCGCTGCACACAAAGCTAAGGTGTGGGCAATGAAAACATCGCTTATGTCAGATAAATGCACAACCACAGAGCAGAATCAGAGTACCGTTAAGCCCTCTAAGGTCATTCAGCCCACATCCCTCAGAGCCACACCTCCACACCGCACACCCCCAGGGATGCCGAGCCGCTTATTCCAGCCGTGTCAGCACATCGCCACCCCGCACAGGGCTTTACGTTACAGCTCAGCAGCAGGAAGGGCAGCACGGCAGGCAACGGGGAGGCGGGCTGAGGCGGCAGGGCCCAGCGCCATAGCAACACCCAACGCCCGCCCGCTTTCAGGCACTCCCCGGCCCGAGGCTTAGCGACGAAGCACGGCCGCAGGGCGAGCGGCCGGACACGCGCGGGGCTCCACAGCCGTACCAGCTCCTCAGGGGTGCGGCTTTCCCGCTCTCCGCAGCACTGCGGGCAGCAGCAGCACAGCGACCCGCCGCACCCCGCCATCTTCCGCCGGCGCCGCCCGCCCGCCGAGCACGTGACCTCGCGGCGCTCACGTGACGCGGCGACGGACGGGGATTAGAGGGGGGAGTGAAGGCGCGGCGCCATGTTGGATAAGGGAATAGCGGGACACCACGTGATGGATTGGGGGGGGGGGGGGAACAGCGGGGCTTAAAGGGACGCGGGATGGGGCCGCCCGCGATGCGCAGCGTGCGACGCCGCGGGGAGGTGAGCGGGGCCCTGCCGGGGGGGAGAAAGAGCAAGGCTTCCCATCCCACCCTTACAACGGGTTCAGCCGAGGTGACAGCACACGGTCGCTTGCAGCCAGGCGTCCTCGCAGAGCGCCGGGTTCCCTATAGGGCGGATCCTTATAGGGTCGATTCCTATAGGGCCTTTTGTGCAGGTGCTCCGTGCCGTTTGTAGCCGTGGGGGCTGCGGGTCCGGCCCCGAAGCAGGCGGGTGAGCCGTGTGAGAGCTGCGGGAGGAGCTGCGTTCCCTGCCAGCTTATGGGGACGCCGAGCGCTTCTATTGATGCGCCGCACCGAGGCCTTCCTACCGCATGAGTGCTTTGAGGCGGCCGGCGAGAAAACCTCGCCCTATAGAGACACCGATAGGCCAACCTGCGCGCTGGATGCTCAAGCCGAAGGGAAAGAGAAATCCCGAGGTTTATCGTTCCCCGGCAATGAGCTGGTGGGAGGCTGCCCCCATAGCCTGCCCTGCTTTGGGATAACCCCCGTCCTGCCTGCTGCTGTGTTTGTGGGGAGGCTGTTGGTAGGCTGAAGGTTTGAGGTTGGCAGCAGCAGCAGCCTTGTGCGCCTTTCTCTTATCTCCTGCCAGCTGGAGTGGTCCCCAGGTGGTAAAAGCAGACTTTCTCCCAAAGGGTTTGGCTTGATGGCCAACTGAGTGTAAACAGGAGAGGAGTTCAAAGTCTGGGTGACCTGAGCTTGGAGTTTCTGGTGAGGACAGCGAGTGTGCTGGCTTGTGCAACAGCTTCCTCCAGAATAGACTCCTTGTTATGTAATGACAAGGTGCTGCTCTCAGTGACAGCTTGAAGCTTTGACAAAGCTAATAACCCAAATCCCGTTTTCACAGCACTTTTCTCTAGCTGTCTGTAGCTGCTCCCTGACTTCTGAGGTGTTGGAGATAAAGCATCAAACAGTTGTCGCCCAGGGAGCTCAGGGGAGTTGGGCATCCTGTACCCAACCTGCACAGCTGCTTGGTGTTCTGGAAAGCCAACAAGCATACCTGAGCCTTCTGCAGGGCAGGGAAAGATGGGATGGTCTCTGACCTCAGTTCCAAAGAGCCACAGTTGGTGAGGAAATGAACATAACAGCCTATCTGGTGAAGGAAATAGCTGAGTGTGTGCAGTGGATGGCACAAACATCTACAGAGTGGTGTGTCTTGCAGAGAGAGAAATGCACAGGGTGATGTCCATAAGGACAAAAGAAAGGATGGCAGGCAGGGTGCCCTGTTTCAGGAAGGATTCTTCCATTTTTTTTTTCTTGTTTACCTTCCCCAGTAGCAGTTGTCTTTATCTCTACGTTGTAAAGAAATGCTGCTTTTTGGGAATAAACAGATGGGAATTCATGAAGGTGGATGCAGTCCAAGGGGCAGCTGCTGTAGAAGAAAATCTGCTGGTGTGTGTAGCCTGAGACTGCAGGATCAAAAAGGTCTTCAGCTGGTGCAAGGGGGCATCGTGGCCTGCGAAACTGCAGACAGAGCAAAAGTCATGTTAACCTGACAAACTTGAGAGCTGGGTTTGATCCTGCAGGCACAGAAGAGTTGCATCGAGGTGGCACAAAGCCATTTGCTGCGTTATTTTCAGCACTGTGTAAACGCACTCGTTTTACTGTGTTTTCACAAGGTTGTCTGCCATAGCTTACAGTGAGGGCTGGCCAAAGGGACCACTTGGTGATGATTAATGGTGGTTGTAGCACAGGACCCCTTTTCCTCATCACATGCATGTCCTGTACAAACTGTGCCACTTCTGAGCACCCTCAGTAAGCTTGCAGACAACACCAAGTTGGGAAGGAGTGTTGATCTGCCTGAGGGGAGAAAGGCACTGCAGAGGGACCTGGATAGACTGGATGGATGGGCCAAGGTTAACTGTATGAGTTTCAGTAGGGCCAAGTGTCGGGTCCTGCGTTTTGGTCACAAAACAACCCCAGGCAACCCTGCAGGCTTGGGGAGGAGTGGCTGGAAAGCTGCCTGATGGAAAGGGACCTTGGTGTGCTGATGGACAGTCGGCTGAATATGAGCCAGCAGTGTGCCCAGGTGGCCAAGAAGGCCAGTGGCATCCTGGCTTGGATCAGGAATGGTGAGCAGGACCAGGGAAGTGATCCTGCCCTGGTGAGGCCTCACCTCGAGTGCTGTGTTCAGTTTGGGGCACCTCAGTACAGAAAGGATGTGGAGGTGCTGGAGCAGGTCCAAAGAAGGGCAATAAGGCTGGGGAAAGGTTTGGGGAATGTGTGCTATGAGGAGAGACTGAAGGAACTGGGGATATTCAGTCTGGGGAAAAGGAGGCTGGGGGGAGACTTCATTGCTTTCTTCAAATACCTGAAAGGTGCTTACAGTGAGAGCGGGGTTGGTCTCTTCTCACTGGTGACAGCATGAGGGGAAATGGCCTTAAGCTGCACCAGGGTAAGCTTAGGTTGGCTATTAGGAAATACTTCTTTACAGAAAGGGCTGTTAAGCACTGGAATTGGCTCCCCAGTTCGGTGGTTGAGTCACCATCCCTGAATGTGTTTAAAATCCATTTGGATGTGGTGCTCAGGGCAGAGGGTTGTTAATTAGGAGGGTAGTATGGTTAGGTCATGGTTGGACTCAATGATCTTTAAGGTCTTATCCAACCTGAGCGATTCTATGATTCTGTTCCCCTTCTCTAGAGCGCTCACCATGGTCAATGAGAACCAGCATACCTGCAGTGCAAGCTCCAGCTCCAAGTCTGATGGTGGCAGCAGCAGTGGGAGTGAGAGCTCCAAGGACAGCTCACGCTGCTCCACTCCTGTCCTCGATGCCGAGCGTCACGAGCGGCTGCGGGAGAAGATGCGGCGGCGGCAGGACTCTGGGGACAGGTGGTTCTCCCTGGAGTTCTTCCCTCCACGCACAGCCAACGCTGCTGTCAATCTCATCTCCAGGTGAGGGCCGCAGGGTAAGAGAGGGGATAGATGAAGCCTCGTTGGTGGAGGGTTGGGAAAAAGTTAATGAGGCAGGCTCTGCCCCGTGCTCTGTCTCCCCTTCCAGGTGACGAAGCAGGTAATGGGGCTGTGCTTTCCTGCTGAGGAGGGTAATGGACACCAGGTAACTTATCTTCCTTGGAGGCCCTCAAGTGTTCAGTGTCATGGTGGGGTTGCTGAGATTGCAAGGCTGCTGCCATGCTCTAGGTCTGAAGCGAAGTGCTGGGGACAATAGAGTAATAGCTATTTAAAACAGAAAATATTTCGTGGTCGTTGTGCTCAGATCTCTGGGACTGACTCCCACAGGTTTTCAGAATCATTCAGCCACTATAGTTTGTACCTCTGTTTACCAAGGACCTCTGAGACTGGTTTCCCCATGTACATGCTGTGTGGAAGGTGATAGATCTGAGCAGAACTAAAGGTTATCCTGGAGCCTGAGCCACCATGTACTCACAAGAGGGATTCTCATAAGGCTTTCTGTAATTGCTGTATGCCAGTACCATGTTTGGTACAGAAGGGCCTGCTCCAGCCCAGAGCAGGAGAGAAGAAAAGTTAGAGGAGACTTTATCTCTTCTGTGAGGCACACTTGGAAACACCACAGAGATCTGGCCTACCTTTCCATGTTTGTGGCCTATACAGTTAAAGCTGGGAAAGGAGGTTCTGGCGTAGTCTTCCATCTCAAAGTGAATGGGATGTGCACTGTGGTCTGCCAGAAGGTGCATCAGTCTAACGCAACACACTGAGAGGAAGTTTATTCTACAGAGAGACTTAAATTGCTTCCTTCCTTCAAGAGATTCTATGCTCTTCCTCATTCAGCCTCAAGTGATTATTATTATTCATTTCACATTTTCTACTTGCTGAACTCTCAGTTCCACGCTTTTCTTGGTGACTCGTGCTGCTGTCACCCAGGTTTTCCCTGCTTGTTGATGGCATTCCAGCAGGGAGCAAGATATCCTGGCGTAGACAGGAGGTGAGTAGGCTAACACAGCTCTAAAATCCACAGGTTTGACCGCATGGCAGCAGGTGGTCCTCTCTTCATTGATGTGACATGGCATCCTGCAGGGGACCCAGGATCTGACAAGGAAACCTCCTCCATGATTATTGCCAACACTGCAGTCAACTACTGTGGCCTGGAGACCATCCTTCACATGACGTGCTGCAATCAGACCAAGGATGACATCACAGGGCACCTGCAGAAGGCCAAGCGGCTGGGGCTGAAGAACATCATGGCATTGCGTGGAGGTGAATCCTTTTGTCCTACAGCACTTAGTAGGGCTGAAGTAGTGTTGCTGTTGCATTCAGCTTCACGGCAAAATGAAGAAGTAACAGTTGGAGGAACTGGATTTATTCTCTTTCCAGATCCTGTTGGTGAGGAATGGGAGGAAGAAGTACATGGATTCAATCATGCTGTTGACCTGGTTAAGCACATTCGCAATGAATTTGATGATTACTTTGACATCTGTGTGGCAGGTATGCATCTTCTGATGCACAGCGTGGGGTAGGGTCTGAGATGGGGGAAATCAGTCCAGCAGTACCTTTCTGGTCCTGGGTTGTAAATGACACAGTGAGATTGGCTACTTCCTAATTTCTGATGTGTTGTCTTGGCTTTTCTTTTCTTCATCCCCTCCAAAGGCTACCCCAAGGGTCATCCTGAAGCAGAGAGCTATGAGGCAGACCTGAAGCACCTGAAAGAGAAAGTTCTTGCTGGGGCAGACTTCATCATTACACAGCTTTTCTTCCGACCAGAAACCTTTCTCAAGTTCATGAAGGACTGTCAAGCCATTGGCATTACCTGCCCCATTATTCCTGGCATCTTCCCCATACAGGTGAAATCAAGTTATGCTGGCTTGGGGAGAGAACGTGGAAACATGTTAGGTGTTTTGGGGTCAGGGCCTGAGAGAGGTCTGTGAATACCCT